ACCATCCTCAGAGTTCTGAACTCCCCGTTCAGAAGGGGAAATCCACATCCTTGGAAAGACAGGATCAGAATCTTAGCAAATAATTATGAGCCTTCTCCTGAAGACCCTGGTGACTTGGTCGGTGCAGGTATTTCTACCAATATGGTGTTCCAGACGTGGACGCTGTGTGCTGGCTTGACAATGCAGGAATTTTGTGACTATTAACTATTCTCACTCTCTCTCCCTTCTCACATGCCAATGTGACTGATTCTGGATGGGATGTGAGGAGGCAGGTGCTCCCCGGCTCCCTCAGAGTGTCCCCTGCTCACTTTCACCACCCCTGTGTATGAGAAAGTGGACTATGAGTGTGGATCAGGACTGCAATGATTTGTTCCCCTTCCTGTAGAGAAACCCAGCAAGTCACTAGTTAGATAAGGAGCTCTCTTTCTCTTTGTCAAAGCAGGACTGGAAGCACTTCCCACGTCCTGTGTGTGCTGCCTAGCACACATCCCGCAGAGCTGACAGTACTGAAATCCTCCAGAAAAACCAGAAGTGTAATTAACTGCTTTAGTGGCACGGAAGCAGGAAGATTAGAAATCACATCCCCTAGTTCCTAAGTTTCTAGCAGTCTTGGGTTTATTTGCAATCAGGGCTTGAACACTATGAGAAAAGTTTCTTTGGGGTAAGTTAATGGTGTTTATGAAAGGACGGTAACACAGGGACTGGAGTGGGGGTGCAGGGAGGGAGGGCCGTGTTTCCAGGCACTCACTATGGTGGGTCTGTGTGCAGGGCAGGGATGCACTTGACTCCCAGGAGGTATACACTGACAAGGAAAAGGTCAAGGTTGAGACTAGCTTGTGTCTGAGCACTCAGGAGCATCTCTGCTCCACTCACGCTGCTCCGACTCAGGATCTTTGAGGAAGAAGAAGCCTTCCATCCGGCCCATTCCCTAAAGGAGGCATGAGGGAAAGAGAACAGGTGGCGTCCTGGAAGCTGTTGTTTTGAAGCCTGTGGCACAGCTCAGAGCTCACAGTGGACGCTGCACTCAGAGCTTGAAGCCTGATATGTCGGCTTAGTGCACACCAAGTTGGAGGCGTCGGGCAGGACACTTAGGGGACTTGTCACATCTCTCAAAAAGGAGAAGGAAAGAGAATAACCAAAATCTTTTGTAACAGCAAAAACTGCTCAAAGCCATTTTAATTTCTATCACCATTTTAAAGAGTACCTTTGTAAAGATTTCCCCGCACTGCGGGGTGGGTAGCACTGCTGTTTGCTCTCTCTCTCTTCCCTTCTACCCCTCCTGGAGGCTGCAAGGCAGTGGTCACCTCCCTGCACACAGGTGGGCTGAGGTGTCAGAAGTTGCCTGAGTCTCTACAGGAGGCCTCACATCTGTAGGGGCTTTTTGCTGCCACTCCTCGGGACAACAGACAGAGGAAATGTGTTTTCTTCCAAGGGTCCATATTTTTGCCTTTCCGAACGCAGGTGCCCTGCTGTTTCCGGTTTTGCTTTAGTGACACACCTGTCCAGGCCCCCAGCCTGAGGGGGGGACTGACTACCCTGCAGATGCACAGCCTTCAGCAGAGTTAAGCAAACATCCCTTGGTGAATTTTGAAATGTAGATGCTGTAGTTCCAATTTTTGTTTTTCAGAAAATGGAAAATTCATAGGGTGGGGGAGGTGACAGGAAAGCTGGAGCTTCCTGGGGCTCAATGGGGCTTGTGGAGCCTCCTTTCAAAGCCGTCTCCTGGTCCTTGGTTTTCAGTCGGGGTGCCGATGTTAACACTGCAGGGAGACAAAGGCTGCGTCCATTTGGCAAAACTTCATTGGCCACGGGGCTGGAGGCAATCTGCTGAGGTGAGCAGTCTTGTGGGGAAGCAGCCATGTGGCCCTTCCCATGGCAGACATGCGGGTGTGCACTCGGGGAAGTGAGTGCCGATACAACTCTTTCACTGCCAGGCTTTTTAAATTTTTGCCCTTATCACTTGGGGTGAAGGAGACCTTCCTATCCCAGGCTTCCGGCAGTGCCTCCAGCTCCCCCAGGTTCCATCTGCTCACACAGCCCTGCCCAGCGCCTGGTCTCTGCCTGTGGGTCCTGATATAACTGGCAGTTTCCCCCCCTTCCCCAATACCAGGGAGACTCAGACCCCCCTCTGTGGAACCCCAAGAGGAGAAATGGGGATCAAAAACACAGCTTCCCAAACTCCCCTCTGACTATGTCAGGCTCCTTCTCCTGGAGCGTGGTGCTCTTTCTGTGCCCCTGGTCACCGTCCCAGAGCAGTCACGGCAGGGAATCGAACAGAAACCACTGCCCTCAAACATAAGCTTAAGTGTCCCGTTTCCTTCTGCTGTGCTCTCCTTTGAGATAAGGAGATCCTTGTTTGAGGGAGATGTGAGTGGGTCGAGCTCCGCTGAGGACTTACTTCTCGGTAGACAATTCCTCTAACCCAGCGACTGCCCAGCAGCAGCATAAGCCGGGAGAGACGGAGAGGATGAAGTTTCTATCTGGCATCAGGTTCCAAGGCAATGGCGGTTCTTTTGACCAAATAGGATTTTCCATAGCTCAGTAATTCTGGGAGACTCTTAGAAAAACTGTATTCAGGGCAAACTCCCCCCCCCCTTCCCACCTCCCAAAGCAAAGAATTAAAAGGGGAGATGCCTCCTCCAGCCTGCAGCTGTCTGTGCCACTCATTTGCAGATTTCAGGTGGCTTCTGTGCCTCTTATTCTTGTTCATTGTTTGGAGAAGGATGATGGGAGACAAGTCCCTCAGATAATGGAGAGATGCAGAAAAATCCAGGGTCGGACAGTCATCCACACTGCCCAGGGTGCTTTGTATCAGGCCTCCCTCCACCGCAGCTTGGCTTTAAGGCAAGACCAGACTGTGTGGCCTCCTGAGCGGCTCTCACAGCTAATCCTCATTTTTGTCTTCCAACACCGTGGTGCTGCACATCCAGATGTCACTTTGTTCAGCCACATTCAGGGGACAGATAATACCTGGCTGACCCAGGATGTGGGCATGGGCTGCAGTCACTTCTGGCCTGCATCCATTTCTGTGTGTCATGCAGTGGCAGACCTAGAGGAAGGGACAGCCGAGTGTCCTCTTCACTGTGATCAGGAAAAAGAGTAGGCTGAAAGTTGAGCCCTCATCTGTGTGTGCTTATGTCGGCCATTCAGGGTGAGCTGATTGCAATGAACCTTTTTCCTCTTAAAGTTGCTCCCATCTATTAAGTCCTAACCAGGAGCCCTTGTCTGAGCATATTATCACTGAGCAACATTTTGATGGACAGTTTTGGTACTTTTTTTCTAACCTTCACTCCCACAGTGTTCTTGCAAAAATTAAGAGAACAAAGATGAGCTTGGACCAAAATTTACTAAATTCAAAATAACAGTTTTTTAAAAAGCTAATATAGGAAAGCCTTTTCCTATTATTTTTCTTCTTAGCTTCTCCATTGTCTAAATGAGGAAAACAGGAAAGCATGGCTTTCTAGCAGCTGTGAAAGGATTTAATGCCCTCTACATGTTTCCATCACCTTGAACAATAGCTTTAGCATGGGAATCTGAGATACGGCTCCTGAAAACATCTTTCTCTACTCTGGCTGTAAAGCCCAGGGCTCAGATCCGTATGGTTTGTGCAGTTAACAAAAAAAGATGATGAGAATCCAAATTCTCCACATATTCAGTAGTCAAATACTCTACATCACCCCCAATTCCCAAGACAAACACTCACTGAAGTAATTTTTAAAAAACAAATTTGCCTTTGTCTGTTCTTGTAGATAATGCCTCCCATTTTAGGTAGAGACACTGGAAGTCCTTTCTTCCATGTTACTGTAAATGCAAGGGAGCAGACGGTTCTTAGATTTTGCTCACTGTTGCCTGGGGCTGATGCTCTTCAGATAGATGTGGCTTATGCTGGACTTAGATCCTTGCAAGGTCTTTCTCTGTGATGCCAGATATGGTTATAAATGTCAATAATTGCCCCATGAAGCCTAAATGAGAATATAAGTATTTTTTCAATATGTGTATTTAAAACATTTGACTAATTCTGGGATTATGAGATTTCTAAGTGGGATTCACTTTGATCCTGTGATGTTTGCCAGCCTGCGGGGAGGTGGAGCTCCAGCCTGAGCGGCACCTCCTGTCAGCCCCAAGAAGCACCAGCCTTGTTGCCTGTGACCTTCCTGTCATGTACCTATCCTAATAAACTCTGACGCGCATCTGTTGTGAACTTGTTTTAATATATTCCATGCCAACACGAATACGTGCCAGAACTTGCTTTCACAGTCATTGAATTTGTGCCTTCCCCTTTTCGCTGGGGTGTTTCCAGACTAGGTGCAGGGCTCTGCCTCCATCATCTCAGTGGATGGGTGAACCACCTTCAGGACACTGCCCTCAGGGCCCTGGGACACAGAGGGACTGGACTGCAGTGTGCCCAGCGTCCATAGCAGCCAGGACCTGTGGCAGACTCAGTGCTCCCAACTTCTGCATTCTGATCTAGCATCCACTCATCCGTGTCGCTCTTTAATTCTCTGCATCTTTTTTAAATGTGTGGGTGATGCCTGGTGCAAGATTAAATAACTAGCAATTGTCGTGCTGTGAAAACACCTTTCTTTAATTATCATAGGAGCATTTATCACTACTTTGTCAGCAAAGCTCTCTCAGTTTATTTAACTAATTGGACGAGCAGACCACATCCTTGGTTGTTTGGCTGAACAAATCTCAGTATGATTCCAAGTCAGGGATG